GGCTGCCCACAAGTTGTAGTAAAGGCCAGATGGTTAACATTTTAGACCTTGAGGGGTCAGTGGTGTTTGTCAACTATCCCTGTAGAGCAAAGGTAGTCTATGGTTCTTGGCTCTACCTGGATTCTGGTCGGTCCACTCTTCTGGTTCATGATTAGAAGATATGGCTAAGAAAGTCACTGATGAGCGCAGAAGTGGCTGAATTAGAACAACCTTAACCAGCCACAATGGAATCCCCTGGTGAAAGTACACACCAACTTGACCAGGAAAAGAATCCCCAAGTACAAAGACCAGCTCAGGTCCACAAGATTCTGCAAATCACCATGAGAAAAACTCGTGTGCAAGAAGATCCTAAGACTCTAGGACAATCCCCAGGAAAATCCAGAGGAGAATCTACTAGTGGCTGCTGACTCACTGGATCTCCTGCTATTGATAGATTATTCCAATAGCACAGTTCCAGGACCTGAAGCCATCCTTGGAGATGATTGATCAGATTTATTTGTTTATGGAAGTATTAAGGTTTGAACTCCAAGCTGTGTAAGCTTGAGACATGCCCATAACTAGATCTATCGGCTTAAATGAATCTTATGAAAGTAGTATGTAGCCATAGATAAAACGTAAACAGAGCTGTCCATGTTCCAGTAGGATTTTATTTACAAAAACAGGTAGGGGTCAGATTTGGTCTGAAGGCAATGATTTTGCTGATGCTTGATTTAAACCAGAGGTTTCAATATATAGGCTGAATACTTAGGTGATGTTTCATTTTTTAAATGCAGGAATATTTAATGATGTAGTTGTGTGGCCAAGTCACTGTACTTTATAAAATTTCACAGGGAGATGGTTGTGCAGTATTGATTCAGATGACTGTGCTCCTCATTGTTTGTTTGTTTGTTTTTTTGGGTCCAGTAGTGGGGCCTGAACTTGGCCTGGGTGCTGTCCCTCAGCTCTTCAGCTCAAGGCTGGCGCTCTACTACTTGAGCCACAGCGCCACTTCCGGCTTTTTTCTTTTTGGTTATGTGGTGCTGAGGAATCGAACTCAGGGCCTCATGCATGCAAGGCAGGTGCTCTACCACTGAGCCACCTTCCCAGCCCCTGTGCTCCTCATTGTTAAGCAGAACTGACTGAGTACTTTTTATGCACCAGCTGTGGGGCTCAAAGCTTTTTAGATATGTTCTCTTTTAGTCCTCACAGTCCTATGAACTGGGCATCATTAGTATGCACATCATATGGATTAAGAAACTTAATTTTGAGCCGGGCGCTGGTGGCTCACGCCTGTAATCCTAGCTACTCAGGAGGCTGAGACCTGAGGATCACGGTTCAAAGCCAGCCAAGGCAGCAAACTCTGTGAAACTCTTATCTCCAATAAACCACCAGAAAACGGGAAGTGGTGCTGTAGCTCAAGTGGTAAGGCACTAGCCTTGAGCTGAAGAGCTGAGGGGCAGCGCTAAGGCCCAGAGTTCAAGGCCCACAACCGACAAAAGAAAAAAAAAAGAAACTCAATTTTTGGGGAGATTATATGATTTTTCTAGTTTGGGTAGCTATTGACAGGGCTTTTCAGTCATGATTCATATTAGGCATCCACCACCAATGCTTGAATTTCCATGAGGTGATTCTTTATGTTATTAATATTATTAACTGAAAAATGCTCAGCTTCCACTTGAACTACTCAGAAAAAGCTGTAAGTGGTGCTGTGGCTCAAGTGGTAGAGTGCTAGCCTTGAACACAAAGAGGCTCAGGGACAGCATCCAGGCCCTGAGTTCAAGCCCTAGGACTGGCAAAAACAAAAACAAAAACAAAAAACTCACAAGCTCTTCTCCCCAGATAAAACCAATATACTTTTTCTAGTGCCACTGAAGTCTTATTCTGCATCAAATTCTTCTCATATGCAATCTATAGTTTTGGCAAATTGTAGAAACTCATTGTTTAAGCCCCTTTCATTTATTTCTGCCTTAGATATTTTTCCCATTGTAGCCACTGTCTACACACTGATTGGGGATATTAATCCCTTTTTGGGTTATTAATGTTAATCAAAGGCAAAGGCCTTTTTGAAGTGATGTAGGATAGTAGTTTTAGATATTTCTTCAGCTTGAACCTGACTCTGACTTTCAGACTGAATACTCAGTAAGAATCATCTGGTCTTCCAGCAATTTAGACACCTGGAATGAGCTGTCCTGCTTCTGACTCTCCACATATAGTCTTCCTTCATGTAGCAGAAGCACAAAATAATGTCACCTAAGATGTCTTTAAATAACAATTACCATAACATGAACTACCACCACCACAGCAATAATAATAGCTCATAGTTACTGAGCACTTACTATATGATTTTATGGATTAATATTATTTCAATAACCATGAGAAGCTGTTATTATCTACAAGTTATAGGCAAGGAAACATGGGCCAGGAGTGGTTAACTTCTCCACCACATATAATAAGTGGCAGAGGCAGGTTTTGAACCCAAGTAAATCTGATTTAACCTGCACTCTGTTAGTTTTCAGATACTGTTTCATGCCACTCAAATAAGTTTAAAATGAATTCTCCAATATATTTTAATGACATGCATTTTTTCAAGTCAGTAGGATTGATTTTCAGATGCTTCCCAAGCAATAGTTCTGGGACTTTGGCATTTCATTGGCTATTAAAATTCAACTGAAGGGCTAAGAAGGTGGCTCAGTGGTAGAGCGCTTGCCTTGCATGCATGAGGCCCTAGGTTCCATTGCTCAGCACCACATAAGCAGAAAAAAAAAAAAAAGAGCTGGAAGTGGCGCTGTGGCTCAAGTGGTAGAGTGACAGCCTTGAGCTGAAGAGCTGAGGGACAGTGCCCAGGCCCAGAGTTCAGGCCCCACAACCGGACTCCCTCCCCCCCAAAAAAATTCAACTGAAGATCCTGACAACCAACTCAGATTTGATAACTTGAAAATTTAACAAATAAGGCCTTTAAACATCAAGCACCCCCATTATCATTTGCAATTAGTGCAAAATAAAGGATAATTTAATACCAGAAAAGTAAAATGATAGTATCTAATACTATGTGTATTGATATATTTTCTATTTCCCACTTGGTTGAGGAGAAAAATATTAGAACAATATTTTCCTTCCATTCTCTTCCTAAGGCTAAGCACCTTACCTTTACATGTACAACAATTTCAATTTTATTTTATTTTTTGGCAGTACTGGGGTTTGACCCCAAGGTTTCCCTTTTGTTAGACAAGAGATCTACTGGCTCCACTACTTTAGCTACACACCCAGTCTAAGAACTGTCTTTTAATCTGGAAGTTAATAGTGCTATTAATTGAAAAAAAATTGTCAGTTGTGGGGCTTGAACTCAGGGACTAAGTGTTGTCCCTGACTTTTTTTTTTTTGCAGTTGTGGGGCTTGAACTTAGAGCCTGGGCATTGTCCTGGAGCTGTTCTACTTAAGGCTAGGCTACTACTTTGAGCCATAGCACCACTTCCCGATTTCTGGTGATTAATTGGAGATGAGTCACACTGACTTTTCCTGCCTGGGCTGACTTTGAACCATGATCCTCAGATCTCAGCCTCCTGAGTAGGATTACAGGTGTGAGCCACTGGCGCCCTGCAAAATTCCTTCTTTTATAAGGAAAGGAGGAACACTAAGTGGCCAAATGACAAGAGTCTGAGAGACTTTGCTTGAGATCTTTGAATTTTGAAATGCAAAAAAAGTTTTAGGAAATAGCATTTATTTCAGTGTATTAAAATGATAATTTTAGGTAGCGCAAGTGTATAAATAGGGCCTATGTCTTTTACATCTTTGATTCCCCCAGAGTCCAATGGTTGGTTTTTAATCGTGTTTTTAACGGTGTCACCTAAGTAGAAATCTACATGCGTGAAGACTTCATGAATTTTTTATTGACAATGTGAAATGAGAAGGCTCAGTGCTCTCCATCTGCACTTTGAATGTAACCACAAACTGAATTATGTATACGTGAAAATTACGGGAAAGTATTTTTTTTAGTTGAGAGTGTGTAAGACTTTGTTTCTTCTAACTTTAGGCAAGTTAAATTTGAATATTTTACTATTATAATTTGTTACATTTAACCTCAATTATATGAAAAATTCATTAAGTCCTTTGTAATTCCTACTTGCTTCGAGCCTATTAGCACGACGCCTTGCGGTAGTGTGTTACACAATGCTACTAAGAAGCTCTCTGTGTTGTACTTTTTTCACTGTACTGTACTAGGTCAATAGATCAAAATACCTTAGGCGGCACTGTCTGGGTGTATCCACAGGATTGGATCCCTGAACCCCAAACAGTGTTTCTCAAGCAGGGATTCTCCCCGTTCCCTTTCTTTATTTACTTTTATTAAGTAGTTGTACCAAAGAGTTACAATTCCTCAAGTCAGTTTAGGAGCACAATGATACTTGGTCAATGACACCCCCTCCTTCGTTCTCCCCCAAGGATTCTCCTCCTTTGAGAGCTGGAAGTTACAAAGAAAAAGAACCTAATTCAGGATTGCTGTCAGTACAAAGGATGGAATTCTCATCCATCCTTCCAGAATTTTGCTTGGGGGCATGACGGAATGAAAAACTTAAATGCATGACAAATCGGAAACTTTTAGCTTCCGCGAAAGGAATTCCCGCGAGGCATTTTGTTTCCTCCCGTAGGAACAGCAGGAGCTGTCTGCCGGGCCATAACGGGAGCAGTGGGGCCTAGAGGAGGAACCGGGGGCCCAGGACCCAAACTCTTAGTTCTAATAACGCGGGCATGAGGATCCGGTGACACAACGAACATTTTCATTTTATGAGGCTCAACCTGTTTTTGTTCCTTTGGGCTGTGTTTTGGTGAAGTAACCAGGAAACGGAGACACGGCCCGAACCGCTACCACCACGGCCCGAACCGCTACCACACAGCCCCAACAACACGCCGCATTCTCGGAATCCGGATCCAGCTGAATCTACTGGCGTGGAATGATAACGTATCTCTGCACCTGGCGATGATTGGTTTTCGACGAGTGGCGTGGGCTGCCAACGGGGCTGGAGCAGTACCTAGTCCAAGTTATCGCGAGATCTGAGGGCTCGGTGCGGGATGGCTGCGGAACCGGGCGGAGCTGGTTCGTGGCGTCCGGAGCCGGCTCACGGGCCCCAGACATGGCCCGGGGTCTCAGCCCGCTAGGCCGGCCTCGCCTCAATACGGTCGCCATGCCCAAGAGAGGAAAGCGACTCAAATTCCGGGCCCAAGACGCCTGCTCGGGGCGAGGTGGGCGAGGGGGCGGGGGCGCGGGCGCTGCAGGACCTGGGACTGGACCGCCGGGTTGGGCGGCCGGCTGGGGCCGGGGCCGGGGCCGGGGCCGGGGCCGGGGCCGGGGCCGGGGCCGGGGCCGCGCCGGACCGCACCGCCGGAAGGGGCTGAAGGCCCAGCCCGGGGCCACGAACGGAGGAGGGCTGGGTGGGAAAGACCCCCCCCCCCCCCCGAGAGAAGAAGGCCTGTGCTTTGAGGGTTGATGCTGTCTTTCAGTAACCGTGGCGGATTATGCCAACTCGGATCCAGCGGTCGTGAGGTCTGGACGGGTCAAGAAAGCGGTGGCCAACGCCGTTCAGCAGGAAGGTAGGCATGTGGCCAGGCCCCTGCGGAGCCAGGCTCTGAAGGAGAGCTAGGTGTTTTATGTTCTTGGGAGTTTTGCCTTCATATCCTCCCTCTCCCTCCCGCCCCCCCCCCCCCCCCTCCCAGCCATCCTTTGGGCATCTTTCCATAAACGTGTTTGCTCTCCTATTCGAGGGAGGAGTGAGGGGGAGGATTAGCCAAGACTAGCAGTTTCTATAGCTGCGTTTCTCTGTGTGTTAAAAAAAAAAAGCAAGTTTGTGTAGTTTTCCACTGCTGCTTCTTAGGTAGTAATCTCTTGCAGTAATTCACACACACACACACACACACACACACACACACACACACACCTATACCTACCTTCTCTTTTTGTCTTATAACCTTGCCACGATCTTTTCCTTTTCTCGTGTTTTCCTTTGCTTTCATGGGTCCCTCAGGACTAGGGTTAAACATAGTTCATGTAAGAGTTCATGTAGATCAGAATAAAAATCACCTTTGCCTTTATTGTAATAGAGAGTTTATAGTGGATAAATTATATATACAGTGCTGAAGTTTACACTTTGAAGGTGCCAGTTTCTACAACTTTGGAGTTCATTTGTCCATTGCTTTTCAAATTTCCGTTATTAAAATGCTAAAATTTTAACTTGGCTTTAGGTTCTCAGCTTCCTCCAGCACCCCCACAAACCTCCCTTTTCCCCTTCTCTGATGGATGCTGGAACCTTGGCTAAGCTGTTTGCACTTCTGGATAGATTTCTGTGCCATCTCATGCTTCCCTATTTTCTTCTAGTAAAATCTCTTTGTGGCTTGGAAGCCTCCCAGGTTCCTGCAGAGGAAGTTCTTTCTGGGGCTGGTGAGCCCTGTGACATCATTGACAGCAGTGATGAGATGGATGCCCAGGAGGAAAGTGCCCATGAGAGAACTATCTCCAGAAAAAAGAAAAGCAAGAGGCACAAAGGTACAGAGTAGCCTGCTGTCTTCTGCCTTATTTGTTCTTTCTATGGTGAGAGTTAAAGCTGTCATTTTCTCCACATATAGGGAGACACCAATAGGAAACTAGAGGTTCGAGAAAATCTAGCTGTCAGCTGAGATCTTGACAGTTGGACAGTACTTGTTAATACATTGGTCTTATTTACTTTATTTTTTTCCCCCCAGTCCTGGGTTTGAACTCAGGGCCTGGGAACTGTCCCTGAGCTTCTTTTGCTCAAGGCTAGCACTCTACCATTTGAGCCACAGTGCCACTTTTTTTCCTATGTATGTGGTATTGTGGAATTGAATCCCAGGTTTCATGCATGCTAGGCAAGCACTCTACCACTAAGCCACATTCCCAGCCCCAGCAACATTCTTTATATTTCATTCTTCCTTAATTCTCACTAAAAATTCCTATGTCTCATCATCACTCTATTAAAGGTTCATATATGTGTGCATGGGTATACACATATATATATATACACACACGTATATATATGTGTATACACATACATATAGGTATGAGTTCATATACATACATGTATGACTATTTTTGAGAAAGGGTCTTGCTTTGTGTCTGGGTTGGCCTGGACTGTGATCTTTCTTTTTTTTGGGTTCGGTTGTGGGGCCTGAACACTGGGCCTGGGCGCTGTCCCTCAGCTCTTCAGCTCAAGGCTATCGCTCTACCACTTGAGCCACAGTGCCACTTCTGGCTTTTTTCTTTTTGCTTATGTGGTGCTGAGGAATCGAATCCAGGGCCTCAGGCATGCAAGGCAAGCACTCTACCACTGAGCCACCTTCCCAGCCCCTGGACTGTGATCTTTCTATTTGTCCTTCTCCGTCTTCCTGTATAACAGGCACCTGCCACCATGCTCTGCCATTGTGCTTCCCTGTAGTATGGGATAACAGGAATGTATTCCTGTTGCTAGCCAGTTGAAATGGAGTCTTGAGTGCTTTTCTATTGCTCAGGATGACCTTGAACCACTGTCCTTTAATCACTACTTCCAGAGTACCTAGGATAACAGGCTTTAGCCATGATGCCCAGCTTTTTTGTTGTTGTTGTTAAAGTTTGTTTTTGTTTTAAACTTGAGACAGGATCTTGCTGTATACAGCCCATTTGGCCTCAAAGTAAATATCCTCTTGAATCAGCCTTCTGAGTTCTAAGATTGCGGGTGTGTGCTACCACACCCAACGTCTGTTGTTTTTTGCTAGGCTATTACACACATTTATAGGAACATTTATTGACAAATGTTAGTGTGAGCATATGCTTTCATTTCTTTTAGATGGAATGCCATTACTGGATAACATGGTAGTAGTAGTAGCTTATCTTTAGCTTTTTGAGGAATCACCGGACTATTTTTCAAAGTGGCTACACCACTTTATATTTCTACTAGCAATGTGTGAATGTTTTTTCACATTCTTAGCAACAGTTGCTGTTCTCTGACTTAAAATTATGGTGGATGTGAAGTATCTTAATATGGTTTTGATTTGCATTTTCCTAATGACGATGTTGAATATTTAAGTACTTTGCTTACTTTAAACTTACATTTAAGTACTAAGTTGTAAGAATTCTTTATATATTCAGAATGTCAGTTGCTCATCAGATACATGATTTGTGGTTGTTATCTGTAGTTCACCTTCTTTGCTTCCTGGTATTCTGTTGTTAGACTCCTCTCTGTTTTCCATTAGATTCTTTCAAATACAAAAGAATAAATTCTGGGGCTGGGAAGGTGGCTCAGTGGTAGAGTGCTTGCCTTGCATGCCTGAGGCCCTGGGTTTGATTCCTCAGCACCACATAAGCAAAAAAAAAAAACAAAAACCGGAAGTGGCACTGTGGCTCAAGTGGTAGAGCGCTAACCTTCAGCTGAAGAGCTGAGGGACAGCACCCAGGCCCAGAGTTCAGGCCCCACGACCGGACCCCCCCAAAAAAAAATAGAATAAATTCTATGTAGCCATAAACCAATTTGAACAATTATCAACCTACTGCCATTTATATTATAACCATTGCTCATTATGCTGTCAGACACCAGATCATTTTGAAACTATTTCCAAATATCCTGTTACCTCTCAATATTTTAGTAGGTATCTCCAAAAGATAATATTTTTTTGGGGGGGAGGCTTTTCTTGGGGGGGGGGCGGTCCAGTCGTGGAGCCTGAGCTCTGGGCTTGGGCGCTGTCCTTCAGCTCTTCAGTTCAAGGCTAGGGCCCTGCCACTTGAGCCACAGCGCCACTTCCGGTTTTTTGTTTTTTTTTTGCTTATGTGGTGCTGAGGAATCGAACCCAGGGCCTAATGCATACAAGGCAAGCACTCTATCACTGAGCCATCTCCCCAGCCCAAAACATATTTTTAAAGCCATATTGGAGTGTGAACTCTGGATTTTCTTGAGTGCTGGGATTATAGGTGTGTATCACCACACCTGGTTTGTTCATTCCTTGTTCAATCATTTGTCCTTCTCCTCTCCTCCCCTCCCCTCCTTTCCCCTCCCCTCCCCTCCCCTCTCCTCCCCTCCCCTCCTTCCCTCCTTCCCATTTACCTGTCTACCTACCTTTCCTTGTTCACCCCCCCCCACTCCTCCTCTTCCTCTTCTTCCTCTTTTCTTCCCTTCCTCCTTCCTCACTTTTTATTTTTTTGTGCCAGTCCTGGGGCTTGATCACCAGGCCCAGCCTGGGTTCTGTCTTTGAGTTTTGTGTACAAGGCTAGTCCTCTACTATTTGAGCCATAGCTCTACTTCTGGTTTTTTGGTTATTAACTGGAGATAAGAGTCTCACCAATATCCTGCCCATGCCAGCTTCAAACCTCCATTCTATGATCTCAGCCTCCTGAGTAGCTAGGATATCAGGTGTGAACCACCAGTGCCCAGCCTTTTTTTTTTTGGGTCCGGTCATGGGGCCTGAACTCTGGGCCTGGGCGCTGTCCCTCAGCTCTTCAGCTCAAGGCTAGCGCTCTACCACTTGAGCCACAGTGCCACTTCCGGCTTTTTTCTTTTTGCTTATGTGGTGCTGAGGAATCAAACCCAGGGCCTCAGGCATGCAAGGCAAGTGCTCTACCACTGAGCCAACTTCCTAGCCCTGCCCAGCCTTTTTTTCTTTTTCTTTTTCTTTTTGCTGTACTGGGGCTTGTACCAAGGCCTTGTGCTCGCTGCTCCCTAGCACCTTGTTTATTAATTTCTGAATGTCAAGAAAATCTTATTATAGACTTTTTGCTGTACTTCCCTGATGTGTGTTTTGTTTTTCTAAGTGTCTTAGCTTCATGTAACCTATTTCTTTTACTTGGTGTGTTTTTCTTCTTAACCTGTGCCTATCAAAGTTTTCTGTGTCCTTTATGACTCTCTCTTTAAAGCTTTCCTTGACCAATTCCATTTCCCTTGTTTGGAATTTTTTATTTTTTTTTTATTTTTTATCGTGAACATACTATACAGAGGGGTTACAATTACTAACAATATTTTTTTTTTTTTACTTTTTTTTTTGGGTCCAGTCATGGGACCTGAACTCTGGGCCTGGGTGCCGCTCTTACCACTTGAGCCACAGCACCACTTCTGGCTTTTTTTTCCTGCTTATGTGGTGCTGAGGAATCAAACCCAGGGCCTCAAGCATGCAAGGCAAGCGCTCTACCACTGAGCCACCTTCCCAGCCCTGGAAATTTTTTTACTAATATGTATAAAATATGGATAATTAGTGGTAGAATGCTTGCCTAGCATGCATGAAGCCCTGGGTTTGATTCCTCAGTACCACATAAACAGAAAAAGCCAGAAATGGCACCCTGGCTCAAGTGGTAGAGTGCTAGCCTTGAGCAAAAGAAGCTCAGAAACAGTGCCCAGGCCCTGAGTTCAAGCCCCAGGACTGGGGGAAAAAAAAGAAAAAGAAAAAGAAGATAGTGTCGTTAATAGTACCCTGCTTTGTAAAAGTCCTTATGAGTCTCAGTAGGTATCATTTTCCTTCTTTGTCAAAGGGATACATTGAGAGAAAGTGAGGCTTAGACGGGGAGGTAGAGTCCGGACACAAGAAGGGGCAGGAATGAGAAATGAAAAGTTTTTTCAGATAGACTGGTTTTTGTTGTTGTTGTTGGTCATGGGCTTGAATTCTGGGCCTGGGTGCTGTCCCTCAGCTCTTCAGCTCAAGGCTAGTGCTCTTGAGCCATAGCGCCCCTTCTAGTTTTCTGGTGGTTTATTGGAGATAAGAGTCTCACAGACTTTTCCTACCCGGGCTGGCCTTGAACCGAGATCATCAGATCTCAACCTCCTGAGTAGTGAGGAACGATTACAGGTATGAGCCACTGGCGCCCTGCTTGTATACTGGTTTTTGTTATGAAAACCCTAACACCAGAATCTGATTGAGTCATTGAGTGGTGGAAGCAGCTAGATAAGCTGGGGTGACTTGAGAAGTTGCAAGAGGAAAGCTGGCTTTAGGGTAGTGCTATGACTAGGTCTGAATTGAGGGTTCCAAATACTGTTAACTGAAGCTGGGATGTATAGTGGACCTCAGGGTTAAGGAAATTTACATCAGTGAGGTGTGATGGAGGAGGAAGAGAGGGATATATTGACTGCCTTCTCTCTGGAAACATAGGCTAAACTGACAGTAAAAATAAGAAGACAAGTGTGTTTACTGGCAGCTGAAGAATGATGAGTGGCACTGTGATGGATCTGGCTTTTATTTTATTTATTGACAGCCCTGGGGTTTGAACTCAGGGCCTGGCACTTCCCTGAGCTTCTTTTATACAAGGCTGGCACTCTACCACTTGAGCCAGGGTGCCATTTCTGGCTTTTTCTGTTTATGTGGTACTGAGGATTCAAACCCAGGGCTAGCCCTTTCATACTGGAGGTGTCTTTGTACCATCTTTTTTTTTTTTTTGGTTGGTTATAGGGCTTGAACTCTGGGCCTGGGTGCTGTCCCTCAGCTCTTCAGAACAAGGCAAACACTCTACCATGTGAGCCACAGCACAGTTTTCTGGTGGTTAATTGGACATGAGTCTCATGGACTTTCGTGCCTGGTCTGGCTTTGAACCGTGATCCTCAGATGTCAGCCTTCTGAGTAGCTAGGATTACAGGTGTGAGCTACCTGCGCCCAGCTCTTTGTACCATCTTTAAATCAGTTTTTACTTTTCTCTCTTTCTTGCTTGTATTTGAACTCAGAGCCTAGGCCCTGTCCCTTAGCTTTTTCCACTTCTAGTAGAGAAAAGAATCTCCTGATTTTCCTACTGGAGTTGGCCTTAAACCTTAGAACTCAGTCTCTTGAATAGCTGGGATTGCAGGTATGAACCACCAGAACCTAGCAGCATTTTTTTCTTCTTCTTCTTTTTTTTTTTTTTTGGTTCCGGTCTTGGGGCCTGAACTTTGGGCCTGGGCGCTGTCCCTCAGCTCTTCAGCTCAAGGCTAGTGCTCTACCACTTGAGCCACAGAGCCACTTCCGGCTTTTTTCCTTTTGCTTATGTGGTGCTGAGGAACCCAGGGCCTCAGGCATGCAAGGCAATCAATCTACCACTGAGCCACCTTCCCAGCCCCTTTTTTCTTTTGCATTACTGAAGAAATTGTTTGGTAGATGTGGACTCCCTTAAAAAAAAAGCAAACCCAAGGCCAGGGAGGCATGTAGTACAAAGCTGGATGTTGGAGTCAGAAATCTGAGTAATGTTTACCTTGTCTAGGTTGGCATGGCTCTGTTTTCTTATTACTAAAGTGGGCCCAGTATTTTCCACATTTCTTTTGAAGAATTATTTTACATAATACACAAAGGAATATTGAAAACTTCAAAATAGTAGTTTTTTTTAATTCACTTAGGCTATAGGAGGCAAACATTTTTAGTGGCTAGAATTAACAGGAAATGATCAACCTGAGTTGTCTTTGTTGCTATTTAAAATTTTTCCCTCCCTTCCTCCCCTGCCTCCTTCCTTCCTTCCTTCTCTTCCTCTCTCCCTCTCTTTCTTCTTTGTTTCTTTTTGTTGTTGGACAAGGGGCTTGTACTTGGGGCCTGGGCATTGTTCTTGAGTTCAGGGCTAGTGATCTACCACTTGAGCCATAGTACCACTTCTAGTTTTCTGGTGGTTAATTGGAGAACAGAGTCTCCCTGGACATTTCTGCCTGGGCTGACTTTGAATTGTGATTCTCATATCTCAGCTTCCTGAGTAGGGTTATAGGCATGAGCCACCAATGCTTAACATATATTATTTGTACAAGTGTGAGCTTCTTTGTGACATTTCTACACACGTACAAATGTATTCCCATCAACCTCAACCCCCTAGCGCATTCCCTTATCCCATATCCCCTTCTTAAAAAATTTCAGCATGTTTCGTTGTTCTAATTTTGTATAGACAAATAAACCTGGACTATCCTGCAAGTGCCCCCTCACCCAACAGAGCCTGTTTAAAACCTTTTTCTTAACTGTGCACACTGTGGGAGAATTCAAATGAGTGTCTTTAGATAGGTGTTATAGAAACCCAGAGTATTGTTCCTTTTCTCTTTCAGAAGACCTAGACGGGGCTGGAGGAGAGGAGTACCCCATGGATATTTGGCTGTTGTTGGCTTCCTACATCCGTCCTGAGGACATTGTAAACTTCTCCCTGATTTGTAAGAATGCCTGGACTGTCACTTGTACTGCTGCCTTTTGGACCAGGTTGTACCGAAGGTGCGACCACAGAGAGCTCACTGTTTTCTCTGTAGCCAATTTCAGTGCTGTTTGGGATCTGGAGCTTCTCTTTGGATTCTGCCCTTCCCTTTTTTTTTTTTTTCCTCCTTCCTGAGTATGTCACTAGCTTTGGACTCCTTGCTTCCTCTAATTTAAATTTAAATTTAATAAGTTCGTCCAGGTAATTGTTTTCCTTGTGGTTCCAGTATCTGCCTTTAGCAGACTGTTGCTTTTTGTCCGAGAAAGAACTGACTCAAGACTTTTCTTAAGAGAAAAACATCTTAGCTAGGATGTTTAAAAGCTACAGATGTTTGTTTCTTTCTCCACTGGATTTGTTATTGTCTAGCTTTTTCTAGACTTCTGCAGGGACCACAGTTTTTGTAGCTATGCTACCCTATGTAGAATCGTAGTGCTGAGGAGTGAGTGAATCATAGAATCAGCGAAAGCACTATTTATCTTCTGATGTGAGTACAGAAGTGGAGATTGTAAGCTGGAAGGCTATAGTAGGTGCATGTTGATGTAACAGAGAGTAGAGAACTTGCTGAGCCAATTGACAGGGAACCTGGGGGCTCTTAACCAGAGCAGGTTCTTTTGAGCAGCTGAAGTATATTATATAGGTATCAATACAAAGACTTGCTCCTTTGTATAGTACAGTCATGGGGATTTAAACATTTTCAAAGGGTGAGAAAATACACGAATATAAGATGGAAGAAGCAGAAGTTGCTGAGGAGTTAAGGAAATGGTAATTTGTATGTGTGCCAGCCAAGTACCAAGTGGAAAAGTGTAACAAAGCTCATCTAGAGACCAGGAGACCTATTAGTTGGAGTAATGTGTCATGTTCCAGGCACTACACGCTGGATGCCTCTCTGCCTTTGCGCCTGCGACCAGAGTCAATGGAGAAGCTGCGCTGTCTCCGGGCATGTGTGATCCGATCTCTGTACCATATGTATGAACCATTTGCTGCTCGAATCTCCAAGAATCCAGCCATTCCAGAAAGTACTCCCAGCACTCTAAAGAATTCCAAAGTACGTGAGAATGAGTGTTGGGGTTTCACTAATGGATCTGTTTACCATGGCTTGTTTTCAGCTTCTTTAATGGGAGGGTGTTGGTCTTGGGCTAATAAGGGACTCATGTAAACTTAGGGCTCAGAGATTTCTTCTCTTAAAACATTCCCGCTGTGCTGAGCTGGCTTATATTCTCTTTACCTTAAAGCTTTCTTGTGCTTTTAGTGTATTCTTTACTCCCTTTATTTTAACTTTTATCTATTGTGCATTGGACTGTAGATATAATGGTTTTGGGCGAGGAGAGCACACAGTTGAATGGCAGGTGTATACTGTAATTTTTAATAGGTGTTTACATTATGTTGTGGAGATAGAACATGAGTAATTCACTAATTTTCTCTTTCTAAAGTAACCATGGCATTCAAGAATTCCCTTCATTCCTGACTTCCTTGATGTAGACTTTTAAATTGTTAAGTGCCCTGTGCCAGACTATTCCCAGGTTCTGTGGTATGTTGTCTTAAAAACTATAAGGTTCTCTAATTCACAGACTTCAGAGCTCTTAAAATTCTTCCTGTGTTTTAAGCTTTTTTTTTTAAAAAAAATCAGAATTCTTCCAGTATTTTGTGTTCATATAGTATATTCAAGTTTCTGAAATTCTTCTGATTATTAATAAATAGACAAGCTAGTCTTTGGTCCTTTCTTTCCTTTTTTCTTCTTGGAAAAATCAGTTTTGCTAAGCTAGGTGAGTTTAATAGGTATTATTATTTAGGCAAGGTGATGATATCTTGGATCTTTTCTTATTCAACTAGTACCATTATATAAATTTCCTATCTTTTGATAGGTAGTTGTGATTACTTTGTTCCTAACCCAAATTTCAGGTTCTCTAGCACTTCCTATTCTCTTATACTTTGTCTTTATGTTCATGGCCATCATGATGATGGCCATATAATAATTCTAGAATGATTCTTCTCTCTTAGGTTAGCTCTATAATGATAATATTTTACCTGATGAATATAAATTAAAAGGCTACTATTGATTTCAAGATACCCAAGATTTTCTGCTCGGCTTACAAACTGAGGTGGTCAGGGCCATTAACTGAACACAACATAGTATCATGGCAGCTGATAGATTTAGGGCAGGCAAAGCATGCTGTGCATGCATAGCAGGCATAGCAGCGGCTTCTACTTGTAATATGAGTGGACAGTGTTCCTCCCCTAGAAGTATTTGACAGGATCAGACTGTGGGGAGGGTGGGATCATCCCAGAGCTAATCAAGCCAGGGGTGAGTTTGTTGCTGAGCAGAGAAGCATTGAGCAAACCCCTCATGCTTGACACATCTTAGCGGCTCCAGTGCACAATGCAAGGGCTACTGCTTAAATCTTTTAAGACTCATATCTTCATTTTCTTACTGCTATAAATTTTTTTAAAAAGCAGACTGAAAAGCCAAAGTGGAATGAGAACTAAGATCTTGATCCAGGTAGTAAGCCCAGGCCATCTGGCTGCTTCTTTGTGCCTTGTTAGAGGTCTTCGGAAGAAGTAATGGGACCTGCAGTAGCAGATGTCCCATGCATGGCCTTGCCACTCGTATATCCACAGTCGCATGGCATTCAGGGAGTTGCCAGCATGCCTGAGGAGAGTTGTCCCATGTTCCTGGACTCCACCTTTTTGTATTTGATTCCCCTCTCTCTCTTTTCAGTAGCATAGCTTGTGTGGGACACTGGAGCCGTTGCGATGGCAGCAGAAGTGTTTTCCCCTTAAAGCCAAGCCCATTATTTTTGATGGAACAGCAGGACGTACAGGGCATGTCTGAAGGGCAGGACAGCTGGCACGGCGGACGACCCACCCCTTATCCCCTGGGAGGTACTCACTTCTTGTGCTTAAACCTAGCTGTAGCCAACTTTTACTAGGGGGCTTACTTCAGACTGCATTCAGCCCAGCTCTGCGGTTTCTATTACCGGCTGTCTGTTCCAGGAAGGTCCTGAGTGGCTTGCTCCTATTACAGGGCTGGTGCTCTTTGCCTGCCTTATGGCCTTGAGATCATCTTGCCTGGTGGCTATTGGCTGCCCTTATATTTTAATGTAGAGCAGTGGCTTGCTGAATCAGAGAAAATGCCCCTGCCTTTGAGACCATGTTTCTGCCTTTAAGGACAAGAATAATCGGGTTGATCTCAATAACCTCTGAGGTTGACTTAAACTGGTCCCTCTTCTTCCTGAGTAGACCTGGGGTTGTCTTTTCATGTTGCACCCATGTCAAGTTGAGTCATATGTGCCAAAGGAAAGCCTCAGCATTGGGATTATGCTTGGCTTTAGAGCACTCAGGCAGAGTTTTTTTCCAGTTGTTTTTTTTGTTACTTTATAGTGTATTTTTTATTTTCCCTCTTTATTTTATATTTTATTATTTTTTTTTAAACAGTGCTTACTTTTCTGGTGCAGAAAGATTGTTGGGAATAGACAAGAACCAATGTGGGAGTTCAACTTCAAATTTAAAAAACAGGTATGTTGTCTTTTCTTTGCCTTCAGATAATATCTGTTGTAATGAATTTCACTAGATGTCTTGATTCCTTTGTTACTTCTCCTTGATACTTACTATAACAGAGTAATTCAGTTAGGATAACTTTATAAAGAAGAGGGAGTAATTTCCTCAGAGTCCTAGAGGAAGGCTCTGTTTGGTCTGGTCTCTTCTGCTCTTCTTTTCTTCTTTTGTTTTCTTTTTTTGGTTGGTCATAGGGGTTGAACTCAGGACCTAACAGTGTCCTTGAGCTTTTTTGCTCAAGGATAGCACTTTGTCACTTTGAGTCATAGCGCCACTTCCAGTTTTCTAGTGGTTAATTGGAGATGAGAATTTCACAGACTTTTCCTGCCTTGGTTGGCTTTGGCCATGATCCTCAGATCTTAGCCTCTTGAGTAACTAGGATTAGAGGCATAAGGCATTGGCCCCTGGCTTTCTGCTTTCTGCTGCCAGAAAGAGCAATCATTGCACCTGTCAGAGGGGAGAAGCTGACCTCTTACAGCAGAGGTAGAAGGCCAAAGGGGCTGAGCTTACGTGAAGTCTCTCCCTGCCCCCACCCTTGGGTGGTACTGTGGTTCCCACCTATGCTTTACCCTTGCCAGCAGGTACTCTGCTGCTTGATCCAGGTCTCCAACCCTTTTTATGCTATGTGTGAGTTAGGATCAAATAGGGTTCTTACTATTGTTGGGGCTGGCCTACACAGCCATCCTCTTACTTATGCTTTATGCTGTAGTTAAGATGATGGCCAACATCACCATGCCCAGCTTTTATGTTTGAGGTAGGATCTCAATTTTTTTTTTTTTAGTGGTTGTTTTTTTTTCTTTATTTTTTTATTGTAAAGATACTGTACAGAGGGGTTACAATTACATGAATAAAGTAATGAGTACTTTCCTATCAAGCATTGTTACCCCCTCCTTCGTTTTTCCCTTACTATTCCCTCCCCGCCCCCCCCCCCCCCCCCCATCTCAATGTTTTTTGCCTAGGCTGGTCTGGAACCACACCATACTGCCAATCTCAGCCTCCTGCATAAATGAGATGTCAGGCATACGCCATGGCACCCAGCTGTAATTGAGATGGGGTCTTACTAACTTTTTTAAAAAAATTTTTTTATTGTGATTGATTACATAAATTTCACAAATTCCATAGTACTATGAGATAGTGATACTTAGCTGAAGTCACAAACACATTCTAACCTTCCTGAGGCAAATTGTCATTATTGTGGTCTATAAAGTTTGTGAATTATATGAGCTTTGACAATACAGCTATTTCTTCCACATTGGGTGATATGTGCATTTCTTTCCTTTTGCTTACTGTAAGCTGTTCCCTCTATCCCTCTCATTCCCTCCCTCCCATCACTGCCCTTGAGTTGCTTGCTTTGTTTTCATCAATGTCCAGTGCAGCCGCTGTTGTGTGTTTCCCTGTTTCCTCTATTTCTGTGTCCTCCTCCTAGTTTCCCTCAGATGTGTGCATATATACTATATATGTGGTCAGCAGCATGGGGTCATTTAATAATGATAGGACAAGATGAACGGAGGTCCTTTGTTTCTTGTCTTTGTTTACTTTGGAGTATTGCCAAACATCAACATATTGGGGGGGCGGTCTCACTAACTTTTTACCTGGGCTAGTTTTAAACCACAGACCTTTAGTCTCTACCTCCTGGGTAGCTAGTTACAGGTGTGAACTACCAGTGCATATGTAAGTCCTCTTTTTTTGGGGGGTGTGGGGGTGCCCCAGGAGAATGCCAGTCCTAGAGCTTAAACTCAAGGCCTGAGCACTGTCCCTGAGATTTGTTGCTCTACCACTCTGAGCCCTAGCTCCACTTCTGGCTTTTTTTGGTCCTTAATTGGAGATAAGAATCTCACAGACTTTCTTGTTCCAGCTGGCTTTGAATCGTGATTCTCGCCTATCAGCCTCCCCGAGTTTCTAATTACAGGTGTGAGCCACTGTTGACAGGCATTAGTCCTTCATTAAGGGCCCTAATCCTATTCATGAGAGACTCCCCCAAGACTCCCCTTCTTAATACTTAGAGATTAAATTTCGAAGTGAATTTTGGCAGGAACACCAATACTCAAACCATTAGAATAATAGCTATGAAATGACCTTACTAAGAATCAAGTAAGGGTAGCATGGTGGTTCAGGGATAGCACCCAGGCCCTGAGTTCAAGCCATGACCACCAAAAAAAAAAAAAAAAAAAGCAAAAACAAAAAGAAAACTTACAATAATAATATTGCCATGAAAAGTAAAAGACATTGGCTGGGAAGGTGGCTCAATGGTAGAGTGCTTGCCTTGCATGCTCGAGGCCCTGGGTTTGATTCCTCAGCACCACATAACCAAAAAGAAAAAAGCTGGAAGTGGTGCTGTGGCTCAAGTGGTAGAGCGCTAGCCTTGAGCTGAAGAGCTGAGGGACAGCGCCCAGGCCCAGAGTTCAGGCCCCACGACCGGACCAAAAAAAAAAAAAGTAAAAGACAACTATTTTGTATTAAAAGACAAAAAGTAGTTTGGGAAGGTCCGGGGTCAGAGAATAAAGAGCTACCGAAGACATTTTGGGGGAATTGAGAATTGAATACGTAGTGACTATTAGACAATACCCTTTTTTGCTGATTTAAGAACTCCCTTCCTCTTTCCCTCCCTCCTTCCTTCTTTCCCTCCCTCTTTCCTTCAAATTGAAACTAAGGGCCTTCTATGTGCAAGGCAGGTACTTTACCACTGAACTGCAAACCCAGCTTTCTGTTGTTGATTTTCTTTCATTCTTTGGTGGTACTGAAGTTGGAACTTGCAGTTTGCACCTGCTAGGCAGTACTCCATGGCTGAACCAAGGCTCTAACCCTTTTCTTTTTTTGTTGGTTGTGGGGCTTGAATTCTGGGCCTGGGCACTGTCCCTCAGCTCTTCAGCTCAAGACTAGCGCTCTACCACTTTGAGCCACAGCGCCACTTCCGGCTTTTTTCTTTTTGCTTAGTGGTGCTGAGGAATCGAACCCAGGGCCTCTGGCATGTAAGGCATGCGCTCTACCACTGAGACACCTTCCCAGCCCCCATCTAACCCTTTTTAATGTGGTTGTTTTTGAGATAGTCTTAATTTTGCCCAGGCATGTGCTTGGATCTTGATTTGCCTATTGTTAGCCTCTCGATGTAGTTGAGATGACACTCATGTGTTACCATACCCAGCTTCTGTTAAGATGGGGTCTAAAGACCTTTCTGTTCTAGATTGGCCTAGAATGTTGATCCTCCCAATCTTCATCTTCCATGAAGCTAGATGGCATGTGTACACCACTGTACCTAGCTCTAGGTTGAGATTGGGGATGAGGGTGGTAATCTCATGAACTTTTTCTGTCTTGAGTTTGTCTCAAATTATAATCTCCCCATGTTCAGCCCCCAAGTAACTGGGATTATAGGTATGAGTCACTGGCACTTGATTTTGCTGTTGTTCATTTTCTTATATGTGTTAGATTGTGGAATATCTTCATCCTGAATTATTAAGAGTGGAGAGTCAATGTTACTTCCAGAGGCTTTGATGGATTTTTAAAATTTTAGTTATATTTTTTTGTGCCAGTCCTGGGCTTGAACTCAGGGCCTGGGTACTGTCGCTGAGCTGCTTTTGCTTAAAGCTAGCACTCTACCACTTAAACAACAGCACCACTTCTGGGTTTTTCTGTTTATATGGTACTGAGGAATCGAACCCAGGACTTCATGCATGCAAGGGAAGCACTTGACCACTAAGCCACATTCCTAGCTCTTGGCTTTTTAATGGACATAATCCCTGCAACCACCACATGCTCCTTGTCTGCTACTTTAAACTAGACTTTTTTTGGGTTGGAGTTGGGGCTCAAGTGGTAGAACACCTCTGTTTTAGAGGTTTCAATCTGTCATGACAAGGAGGGTATGGCAGAAAAGAATGGTTCATATTATGGTGCTGAGGAAGCAGAGAGAGAGGAGAGAGAGAGAGTATAGGGGGAGAGGGGAGAGAGACCATATGGGCCTGTGCCCGCATGCTTCTTCTCTCTTCCTCTTTCATTCCATTTAGGACCTTAGTCTGTTGAGTAGTGCTGCCCACATTGAGGATAGCTCTTACCCCCTCGTGAGGGAAAACACCCTTACACACTCACCTATAGTGTATGTGAATAACTCCTAGTTCCTTCTCAATCCAAGGTGATAAGAATAGCCATGACAGATATATTGCAAATAACAATAGTTTATATGCTTTTACATCTGAGATGACTGAGGAGAGGGACTGCCAAAGACTGTTAGAAGAGTAGATAATTTTCTGTTCTGTCTCTGCCTTTTGCTTACATGTACCTGAAATCTTAGCCACAGTGATGATTTAGTTTGCCTGTCTTTTTTTTTTGCTGGTCCTGGGGCTTGAACTCAAGGCTTAGGTGCTGTCCCTGAGGTTCTTTTTGCTCAAGGCTAATGCCACACCACTTGAGCCACAGTTCAATTTCCAGCTTTTTCTGAGTAGTTTATTGGAGACTTTTCGGCCAGTGCTGGCATCGAATTCTGATCCTCAGATCCCAGCTTCCTGAGTAGCTAGGATTATAGGTATGAGCCACCAGCACCTTGCTCACCTGTCTTTATCTTCAGCAGGTTCATTAGCTACCTAGTAGCTTACTGAGGAGACACTACATATACAGTTGTTTCTCACTTAATGGCAGGTGGATTACCATAAACAATATTTTCTTAGTGATCTATTGTAAATAACATAGTTCTCAGGAAAAACTTTGTCATGTAAAATTTAACATGACAAACACTGGCAATCTGTGATGTCCACTAAGCACTGGTAAAAGTCCATCTTTCAGAGGAAGCACTGAGGGGCATTCTTAGTGGAGAAATGTGAGTAGAAACAAAGGTCAGAACTGCAGAAAAGTGAATGCTGAGATTTCCTTGAGTTCTGAGACTTGTGAATCTTTTGTTTTATAGTGCATGGAATTAGGAGGCCATCCCAGCCCTCGCTTATGTGCAACAAATATTTGTTGGAAGTAGACGAGTGAATTTGCAATTCTTCAAACATTGAAAATTTCAAGCGTATAGTTTTATAGGAGCTACAAGTTTCTATTTGTTAGCAGATGGTAGCATAGCTTACCAGTACCACTATCCATCCAAATGTTTTCCCTTCTTTTGAAGGGTAGGCATATTTCCTTTATCTCTACATAGGAACCAATATCTAGGTTGTCACTCTACCACTTGAACCTTGCCTCTAACCTGAAACTAAGATGTCTATACAGAAGAGAAAGAAGGGAGAAGTCATTAGCTTTAGGATTTTCACTGGTGAGTCTTAAGAGACATAAGTATTTCCTCTAGGCCATAAGATTAATTCTTAGTGCTCTTTAGCCCCCTAGATTAAAGAGCAAGTGTGTGGGACGACTGCAGCCCCCCATTCAGTATGAAGATGTTCATACCAACCCAGACCAGGACTGCTGCCTGCTGCAGGTTACCACCCTCAACTTCATCTTTATTCCAATTGTCATGGGAATGATATTTACTCTGGTAAGTGGGGACTCCATATTCATCTGTAGACCTTTTTACCACTTCTCACTGTATTTATAGTTTGAAAGGGATTTGTAATTTTACCATGAAAAAGAAATCTAAACAATAATTAAAAAAAAATTCTGAAGCCAGGCACTGGTATCTCATAACTATTAGCTACTTAGGAAGTTGAGATCTGAGTATTAAGCTTTGAAGTCAGCCCACACAGGAAAGTACTTGAGACTCTTTATTGCCAATAAAATACTTAGAAAAGGCCAGAAGTGGTGCTATTGCTCAAGTGGAAGAGCACTAGCCTTGAGCAAAAGAAGCTCAGGGACAGTGCCAAGGCCCTGAGTTCAAGTCCAGGACTGTACAACCCCCCCCTCTCCCCCCCAAAAAAAAAAATCGGAAGGGGCGGGGCGGGCTGGAAATGTGACATAGTGGTAGAGTGCTTGCATGCATGAAGTTCGCCCTGGGTTCTATTCCTTAATTCCACATAAACAGAAAAAGTCGGAAGTGGTAGAGGCTAGTCTTGAGTAAAAAGAAGCTGAGGTACAGTGCCCAGGCCCTGAGTTCAAGCCCCAGGACTGGGCCTCTCCTCCAAAAAACAAAAACAACAACAATCTGGAAGTGGTGTTGTGGCTCAAATGGTAGAGCACTGACTGGCTTTGAGAGCAAATACTCAGGGACAGTGCCCAGGCCCTGAGTTCAAGCCCCATGACCCACAACAAAAAACAAAAACCCATTAAGTGTATTTCCTGGGTTTGATTCCTCAGTACCACATAAACAGAAAAAGCCAGAAGTGGTGCTGTGGCTCAAGTGGAAGAGCACTAGCCTTGAGCAAAAGAAGATAGGGACAGTGCCCAGGCCCTGAGTTCAGGCCACAGGACTAGCAAAAAATAAAAATAAAATGAAAAATCTTGAAATCAGACTTGCATATTAGCAAGTCAGATGTGGGAAAAGTTAGTTATATTTGAGACTATTTAGCCTGCTTCCTTTTTATTTTTTGTGCAGTACTGGGGTTTGAATTCTGTTCTCGATTAGCTTTTTCCCTCAAGGCTGGCACTCTACTACTTGAGTCACACTTTCACTTCTGTTTTTTTGCTAGTTAATTATTACTCTTTAACTTTTTTTTTTTTTTTTTTGGTCGGTCATGGGGCTTGAACTCTGGGCTTGGGTGCTGTCCCTGTGCTCTTCAGCTCAAGGTGAGCACTGTACTTGAGCCACAGCACCACTTCCTTGCTAGTTAATTAGAGATAGACTTTTCTGCCTGGGCTGGCTTTGAACCCGAATTCTCAGATCTCAGCCTCCTGACTAGCTAGGATTATAGGCATGTAAACCTGGCTTAATTTTTCTTTTCTATCTTTTTTTGGTCTGTGATGGTGCTTGAGCAAGGGGTCTGGGCTCTGTCCCTGAGCTCTTTTGTTTAAAGCTAGTACTCTAACACTTTGAGCCATTCTCATTTTCTGATGGTTAATTGGAGATAAAATGTCTCCTGGGACTTTGTTGCTTGTGCTGGCTTTAAACTATGTTCTTCAGGTCTCAGCCTCCTGAATAGCTAGGATTACAGGTGTGAGCCACCAGTGCCTGGGTGCTTTGAACCATGTTTCTCAGATCTCAGCCTCCTGAGTAACTACTAGTAGAAGTGTGAACCACTGGTGCCTAGCTGGTTTAATTTTCTATCTTTACAAACATGTTGGTATTAGAACTTATGGGTACTCTTGTGATCTAGACTGAATCATCTCATGGTAAGCCGTAGGAAATCCTGAGTATTAAATTTGTTTTTCCTTTCTAGTTCACTATTAATGTGAGTACAGACATGCGACATCATCGAGTGAGACTGGTGTTCCAAGATTCTCCTGTCCGTGGTGGGCGGAACCTGCGTAATGAACAGGGTGTGCAAGTCATTCTGGACCCAGTGCACAGTGTTCGGCTCTTTGACTGGTGGCATCCACAGTATCCATTCTCCCTGCGGGCATAGTTATTGCTTACCATCCCTTGGGGCACCTCTGAGCCTGGTCCATTAGTAATGAGATCCCGTTTGGAAGGGGCAGTTGGGTTGTATATCTGATTAGTGATGCATGGGCTCTATGGGGTCCTTGGGTTCCTATTACAGGCAGGAGAAGGGTTGAATCACGAAGAAAGACAACTATGATTTATAAACATTTTCATGTAAAATTTGCATTTGAAAGGAGAAACCTGGCCTGTTTTTTTTTTTGTGTTAAAACCCCATTTGGTGCTATTGAGTTTGTTCTTTATTCTTTTATTCCAGTGAAAATGAATGATCAAGCTCTAGGGAAAAATTAGCTCTGAAATCTTAAAGCAAGGAAGATTTCCTTAGGATTAGAGGAACCCGGCATCCTAAAACTGTTACATTGCTTCAGTGCAGCTGCTCCTCACATTCAAGTGACTATTCTCTCCCTTACCTTTCTTCAGTTCAAATAAAGCAGGTGACAGGGTTTTCAGAATCTTATCTAATACTGACTTGTGTATCTTTTAAAAAATAGTTCTTGGATACTTATGGTATATTTAATTGATTTGCCAATTTTGTATTCGTTTTTTTGTTTTGTTTTGTTTTTTGCATGAGGCTGATAATGACAATGATTTTGACTTTGTGTCCTTGATTGTATTAGGAACTTAACAATGTCTTTAATGCTTAAAAGTCTTTTCAAAGCTGGGGCGCATTGGTGGCTCATGCCTATAATCCTAGCTTCTCAGGAGGGCTTGAGATCTGAGGATCATGGCCAGCCGGGGCAGGAAAGGCCTTGAAACTCTTATCTCCAATAAAACACCAGAAAGCTGGAAGTGGTGCTGTGGCTCAATGATAGAGCCTTGAGCTGAAGAGCTGAAGGACAGTAGGACAGTGCCTGGGCCCAGAGTTGAAGCCCCCCCCAAAAAAGAAAAAAATTTATAAAAAAAGGAAAAGAAAGTCTTTTTAAGATAGGTTAAACTATTTCTATTTTTGCTTGAGAAATAATCAGTGACTTATCCAAGGCCTTAACAGCCAGTAAAAGGATTCTGACCCAGGTGTTTTTTCTTTTTGCTGTACCATGATTTAAAAGGCCAGTCTTAGTTTGCTTTTAGTAGATGGCAAGAAGGGAATCAGTAGAATATAATTAAAAAGTAAGCTGGGTGTCCCTGGCTTACACTTGTAATCTTAGCTACTCAGGAGACTGAGATCTGAGGATCATGGTTCAAATCTAGCCTGAGCAGCGCAGAGTCAATGAGATGCTCTTACCTCCTTTTAATCCTCAAAAAAGCCAGAAGTGGAGCTGAATATCAACTGGTAGAGTGCTAGCCTTGAGCATAAAATCTAGGAACAATGTCCAGGACTGGCACAAATAAATAATGAGCAAGTAAAAGTTGGATTATGGTGTACTTTTATCCCTGATAAATCTAAAAAGTGTTAAGATTGATGAAAGAATCTTCTAAATATATGTATTTTAAAGGAAAATGTGAAACCAAGAAAGTTATTTGAAGAAGATAGTGGCAGTTCCATTATGTTGTTAGAAAGGCGTTTCATCTAAGGTCATTTTTTAAAAATGCACGCACTGCATGTTGAAATCAACGTTAGAACCATCAGCACTTGGTGGCTTTGCTCTATCCTGTCCTGCACTCTGCTGCCTCTGCTGTCATCCTGTGTGTCTACAGAGCCCGGCATTTTGTCCTCCAAAAATTCCAATGTCCTTTCTTTGGTCAAAATACTTCCTAAAGATGGTGTGCTCAGAGAATCAGGGCTTTTTTGGTTTCCTAAGAAGATAATCTTGCTGCTTCCTTCTAACCCCCAAATTAACCAGCGAACTGGGTATTATTCGGAGATTGATACTAAGACAATCTTCCCTCCCTCCCTCCTTTTTTTTTTTTTCTTTAATAGAGACAGTCTCACTATGTAGCTCAGTCTAGCTCCCAACTCAGTTGTCCTGCCTCTGACTCTGCTGGGATTATAGTCATTTACCCCTAGCTCAAGTTAAGACAATATTTTTTAAACACGAAAATCTTGTGAGGGCAGATTTTATTGTGAGCAAAGTGCTACATTATGATTTTTTTTTCCCCTGCCATTATCCCCACCCTGTGCTATTTAAGGAATGTTCTCAGGAATCATCTGTTTATTACTGCTTCTGACAGCTAGCCTTACAAGCTAGCCTTGGTGGTGGCACTAAAGCTGTTGACAGTGAGTCTGGGTCAGTGACAAAAGCGAACAAAAGGCTTAAGGACAGATCTCTGCAATCAAAAGTTGTCCTCTTTGAGGCAGAAGGAAACAAGACAGAGTCCTTTAGTTCCTGAACAAAGGATGGCTTAGAGCTGGAGGAAGTTGTGTAGATTGTGTGTCCCCCACTTAGGAGTTAAAAGGGGGGAGTGGAGGAGAAATAAATGTGACTCAGTAATTGTGCTTTGACCTGAGTTTTTGTACTGATTCTGTCTCTACTGGGTCAGGTTATTATGGCTTTTGCATTCATTCCTTGAGTTGCTTCTTCCATTGTGATTCATGTTAGGGAAGGGAAGTGAGGAGAGGTTAAAACCTGTGTAATAATTTTCACTTCTTTGAAATTTATGTGTAATTTTGCTAGTAGGACCACAGAAAATAATAGATTGAACTTTAGCTTCCTCACCCCAGATAACAGAATTACTCAGACTTCTTGCCTTTTTCCAAAGATGCAAGGTAACTAAGCCCCAGCTTAGTTAAGATAATAAATGGAAGATGGTGTGTATGCTGCTGTCACAGCCTTTGCTGTTGTGTACACTTTGCAAGTATACGAGAATTCCTGGCACCTGAAGCAGTGCTATTTGGGTGTTCCTAAAGGATTGAGTAGGCACCATGGTGAAACAGCACCGATCGGATGGGAGACCCGCCAAGGGAGGCTTCAGGAAAATAGGCCTAAGCCAAAGCGAGTCACCCAGACATGCGGCATCATGGCGTGGGCACAGCAGACAAGCTGCCCTCCGCACTGGCGGCCACCGAGCGCCACGGGCAACACCCGGATTCCACGTTCCTTCACCTAAGTGGGTGGGAGAGGGGGTGTGACCGGGGACAAGCCACTGGCCAGTCTGGGAAGATGGGTAAGTACAAAGGGAGGAGCGGGGTGCGCCGCACCGTCGGCCTGGAGGCTACGCTCCGGCCAGGTAAAGCCGGGCACAACCAAAATGGCGCACAGCATCAAAACGGTACCCTGGTCACGTGCTGGGCCTGGGAGCGCCCGGGGTGGGAGGCGTGGTCTGGGGGGATGGCCGGCCCCGCCCCCGGAGGTGTGGCCTGGAGGGAGGGGGCGGGCCTGGAGGCCGGGCGCCGAGGCGGCGGCGGAGGCTGCAGCTCCCGGGGCAGGCGCGCGGGGCTCCCGGACTTGCGCTGCCCGGGCCGGGGGCGGCTCCCTGCGGTCTCCAAGCGAGCGAGCGCGGCTGCCCGCTACGGGGCCTTGGCGTCTGTAGGCAGGTGAGCGCCCAGAGCCGGGCGGGGGGGGGGCGTCTCTTTCCCGGCCCCAGCGCCCCTCCGCAGTTTGGGGAGGGGTCTGGCTAGTGCGCCCTTTTACTCTGCTGTGTCTCCGCCCTGCGTCGATGCTGCCTCCTCCGCCGCCCCTGCCAGCCCTGGCGGTGCCCTGTGCCCTTGGGGATGAGAACGGGGGCCGGCCGGGCCCGGCTTGCAGCGAGGGCGTGGAGTTCGCCCTGGGCTTCGTGGGCTCAGTGGGAGGGGGCCGAGTGGGCTAGTCTCCCGGGTAGAAACTGAATGCGTTGCGCCCCAATTTCCCCTCCAGGAGAGTCAGGAAAAAGCGTCTCGTGAGCCAACTCTGCTCCTTGGGGCAAAGCGCTTCTGAGGGGCTGAGGAGGTCTTCGTGTTTCCCGGGGCGTGGGGGGGGGGGGGTGTCTTAAACCCTCCTGTGCGCATCGTTACGCCCCGCGTTCCAGTCGCCAGTTCTTCATTCCCGGAGCTGCCAGACTCAGGTTGTGCCACGGATGCCTCCATCTCCGCAGTGCCAGGGCGGTGAGGTGGAAGGAGCGGCCGACCCGAGGCCTGGTGGGGGTGGGGACGGGGGTGGGCGCATCAGGAAGACAGTTGGGATGGTCATTCCTGAACTGGAGGTGGGAGTGGGGAGCTGACTTTTGTCCATGCAGCGGGGCGTGGGGGGTGGGGGTGGGTTAACAGTGCGGCTGTGGAGGTTTTGATGGTGGGTGGAAGGGTGAGATTGGGCTAGAGGGCTTGGAAACTGGTGTGGGCGATTTTCTTTGAGAAGGAGGATGGATCCAGGACAGTGCTGGTAGGTGCTAATGTCACCTTTGAGTAGAGATTTGCTAGTAATATTCATTAGAGGGGTAGAGGAGTTGAGGTTGTTATTTAGTTCTGCCAGGGAGAGCAAGGGGTTAAGGAGCAGGCTTTGCTTAGCATGGTAAAGCCCTTCCTGGTGTGAGCTTAAGGGCACACCTCCAGCAGGCAGGTTTCAGGGACTTCCTGCAGTCTTTTTTGAGGTGATGGAATTGTACTGAGTACTTTGTTCAATAACCAATGAACATTTATTGGGCACCTGCTGTATACCAGACACCATGCCAGGGGCTTGGTCTTCTAAAGGCTGCTTACAGGTACCCTCTGAGTAGGCTCTTCTACACACAATTTAGGTACATTGCAATTGGTTTAACAAGAGAAAGACCGAGCCCAAATGGATTGCAACCAATGCAATCTCTACCATTATTAACTGGTTGGGAACTCCCAGAGAGGCCGCCTTAGCAAAACAGACAGCTTGTATCATTTCCCTTAGTTATTTCCTCAGATTTTGTACTGGCGTAAATGGTATCTCAAAGTAATGAGGTGATGGGTGGCACAGTGGTTTCTGGGGACCAGGAATATGATAGACACTGCATAGTGGGAGATACCATCTGAAAGATGGGAGAGCGTGAGGGATGGGGAAGAGGGAATTTCATCTGGGGGTGTTTGGTTGTGTGCTGCTGAGCATGTCATGATGTCACACTCTTTGAGGTCTGGCAGCTGCATTGTAAAGAAGGGATGGAGGGGTGGGGCAGGCAGGCTGGCTTCTGGGTCCCCTCTCTGAGTTGATTACTAAAAGCTTAGAACTAGAAAAAGTTACTAGAGATTGCTGTGGGGGTCTTTCTAGCCTCTGAGAATAGCAGAGCTACCTCTGGGGTGAGGATGAGTAGTTGGGCTAGGGTGGCAATGAGGACAAGGGTAAAGGCTTGGGGGGGTCAGGTGATGGGGTGGTGTTAATATACAGGGGAGCCAGTGGAGGCCTTGCTATGGTAGAGCTACCCTACCCCTATACCTTAGATTCTATTGTGTTGAATTGGCACAGGAGTTGTTGTATAAATGAGATGCAATGTGTGGACTGAGTGATATGTAGAATTGTGTGTGTGTGTGTGTGTGTGTGTGTGTGTGTGTGCTGGGGAGGAGTAGTGAGAAGGGAAGACTGAGGGAGTGACCATTTACTCCGAGTTTGGGCCCCAAGTAGAGAATTGGTGGAACTGGAGGGGAGG